CATGGCCAGGCCAACCACAGGTAACTAGGGTCAGACGACGTGACAGCGCTAGCTGGAGGCAGCAAAACAAAGTGGAAACGGGAGGCAGCCCATTTAAACCAGTGTAGGTTCGCCTACATAAGGAGCTTAAAATATCATCTTGTTGTGATGTTGGGTGCCAGAATCGATGTAATACAGCCTCAAATTAGAAATTTGATCACATATCTGCTGCCACTGCCAGACAAAAAACCGACGACAGCTGTGGTTAAACACGATAAAACGAGCAGACTGGACAGAAACGATGCTCGCTTTGCAGCGCTCACTTATCAGAAAAGGTTAAATAAAGTATTGTCTTTTGTTGTTATGGGCGCGTCTACAGATTTCTTGCCATATGTCTATGTTTCTTGCATCTCACGACTATGTCGTGTATGAAATAATGTCTGTGTGCATGTGTGTAAAACAACAAACTGACGATTTATATATCATTTGTAATTGTATATACATTGTTGTGATTAATTGTGGCTGGAACAATAGTGTAGCTGTAAAAATAGTTGCCTGTTGAAATTGAAATATATATACTGTACATCTTCATCATGACTAGACGGACACGGTGAGTTTGTCTTTACTACACAGGTTAGATGTGATCCACCTCATAGTAACAATCCTGTCAGATCGTCCATCCTTTGAGTGAGAGTGTAACGTTACAGGTCGGCCGATCTGGTTTCGTGGTTAAAGTTAACCTTTTCGACATGTTTCCGTGTTGTTGTTGCTCAGCAATGTCTTGGACATGATGTTGTCTGGGTGTTTGGCAAAAGGAGAGTGGGACTGTGGGCGGTGCTCGGGGTGGTGACTGAAGGCAGTGACTGTGTAGTTCTGACATCAACTTTTTATGGAAGTCACAACGTTGGTGAAAAATCACAGCTACTTTATGCAGGCTGTGTGCATTTTGTGCTGTGTGGACTGACTGTTTTGAAACTTAAATGGTAGTTAAATAGCCCCTAGACCTCAGTAATCATGAAAAAAGCCAGGAAATTTCAGTTTTGACAATATGGGACCTTTAAGGGTTAAAAACTTTTTTATGCAATGCAATAAAACTTCTACATTAAGCGTGACTTCAGTGTCCAAATATTTCTGGGGACAAGTTTGCTGTGTGCTGTAGAAGTCACGCAACACTCATCTACTAAATATCATTCATGCATTGAACGGTGGCGTGATGTTCTTACCTCCCATCGACTGTAGGTCAGCAGGAACAGGCACAAGGGTATGGCGGTACCGGACATGGCATGCGTGGAGGGCATGCTGTACTCTGAGTTGTAGAACATCTCCACCTTGACCACCGGAGGCGAGGCAGGTCTTGGCCACCGGATCACATCTTTCGTGCACTGGCCGAGATACATGACCAACACCCAGACCACGACGAGCCGGCGGCTCACATACGCGTCCACGTTCCACATGAAGAACGGGAAGAATGAGATGTAGAACAGCTCGTTCCCTAGCTCGGTACCAAGCGTGAACAGGTAGAAAAGAAACTTATTATCGATGATGAACTCCTGCCCGACGTCTCCAGTGAGAGAGTTTCTGCGAAACGGCTTTACCGCGGATCCTTGAGCCTCGACCGCTTCTTTATCCCGTGCCTGCCCGTTGACGTTATCTCCTGCAGCGCCGTTCGCAAAGACGTTACTGCCTTTCTCCCCGTCGCTTTCTGCTCCTGCTGTTCTACGGCGGGCGGTATCCCCGCCTCCGCTCTGAACATCCCCGTGGCGAGCATTTGGTGCCCCGTAACGAAGTCTGTCACGCGGTTCGGTCCCGCGTACCCCGCACAGCCGTTGGAAGCGCGCGACGTGCTGAGGGTCCTGCAAATGGTGCATGAGCCGGACGAACCCCGCTTTCAACCCGCCTGCCATGTCCAGCGACAAACTGCGCAAGTTGAACCGACCCGGTAAAGACCGGGAGAAGCTGGAGCTACTGAGAATGAACCGTGCTGTGGGTTATTAAACCATCCCCTCCATTTCTGTGCTTATAATAACAACAAAACGCCCAATCTAACCAAGACAAATAAACTTATAACAACTGACAAAGTTATTGCTAGACATATGAAGAGAAAATTAACCCAAAATACTACTTGCAACCCCAACGCCGTATCCGGTTACTGACAGATCTGCAGGACCACAAGCCATAATGGGAGGGGCTTAGCAGCCCGGACATTGTCTGTGATTGGTCAGACACAATAGGTCTCTATAAAAAGAATAATATATTATGAGGACATTATATTTTGGTGTATTTCTCTGAGACTATACATGCCACAGTTTTAATTCCCTGTACAGAGCACATTCAGGGCTTTTCAGAGATACTAAATGTTTGGATGTTTCACCATGACCACTCCCTCTCCTTGGTCTTCAAATATGTCTGATATTAACTTAGTGACACTCTTACGGAAATATGATCATATTTTGTAATTATCATTTAAAACTGTCTAATTTTTAAACTGTCTGTCATAAATCAACATCTCAGGAAAATGTTATGGGGTCTCAAATCAAAAGATGACTTTCTGTTACGACACAGGATGTTGATTTCATACATGTCCTCATATGAGGACACTGGGACTAAAAGAATGTTTATTAGCATTTTGGGAGACATAACAAATGAATAGGGAAATAAATTATGTTTCAATATTCTATGAAATATTATATATTATTATGAAAATCTTGTCAAATATTACTCCCATTATTACACTTCTTCTTTTTAATTACATGTTGCCCCAAAAACACATTATGCAAATTATATTTAGTTTATAGATACATTGTATATAATGAGAAAACCCGTTTATGGCCATTTTACACACATTTTGCAGAAAGAAAAATGGTATATCAAATCATTCTGTTGAGAATCATCTTTATACAAAGTTTGGTAAAAAAAAAAAATCCTGAAAACGAAAAATTTATTGGTGATTGTAAAAAATCTATTGTTTTTGCCTATGCATGTTCATTCATGGTTTTTTTTTTTATTGTCTCGATAGCATAGTCATAGCATAACTTATGAACGAAATATCTTCTTTTTTTTTATTTATGCTCTAAAAACAATGTAAAGACATGAAAAAAAACTTTTTTTTTTCCTAAAATCTTTTCTCGGGTCTTACGAGGTTAAGAGTAAAAACGTTTTGATATTTAAATACAGCTCAATGGATTCTAGTCTCGCAAAGCACCCCCTGGAGTAGGCTAAGACCACTTTTGTCAAAGAAACGTTTAAAACGTTTAGCAGTATTTACTGCCCAATGGTGCGGGGGTTAGGCCGGGCACACACTGTGTGGGGGTTAGGCCGGGCACACACTGTGCGGGGGTTAGGCCGGGCACACACTGTGTGATTTCAGCAACGTTTTTGTTAAATACCAACTCTCACTGTACGAGGTAATCGCACGCGATGTCAAGCCAAAACTCAGGATTTATGTGTGCTCACAGCACACTGTACGACGTGAGACCCTCCCGAACCCAGAACTGTGTAGTTTCCATCGCTTCTGTCCAAACCATACGCCATGGTTTCATTTCTGTTTTCACGCAGGCGGAAGTTTCATGAGGGGCAACTGAACCAATTCATCCGACCATCCGATTACCGCTCGGGAGAGGCTAATCACCTCTTGTTACCCCCTGTACACTGCTCAGCAAAAGACGCACTATAAATGCTGAAATTCGGCCCGACTCAAAAAAAAAAAGAGAGGCAGAATTCGGCTCAAAATCGGACGAAAATTGTACAGTGGATGCCCGGCCTTGCGCCATCACTTTACGGACTCGGGAGCGGCCGCACATGCTGGAGGAAAAGCCCAATACTGATACATTTTTTATGTGCATATATTTATTTACACAGATAAAGACAAAGGGCTTAGTGAAACATTCAATCTTATATTTTATTTGACTGCAGTGCCATGAAAATAGACAATTCTCGTATGCTACTTTTAAACCTTTTGGCAAAATAGCACTAAATTCTCTGAGCAATAGTGTTCTCTTTGAAACAAAAAATAAACTCCATTTCAAAATAAACCGGATACCCATGTCTATGCTTTGAAATGTCCAAAAGATAGCACTCTGAATTGAGATTTCAGTCAATTACATTCAGATATCGAAAAAATTACAATACACATACAAATGTGCATAAACAAACACAACATATTAATAGTAAGAGTACCAGTCATTATTAACAGTACCAAAATATTTTTGCACAACTTTGCCTGTTAGAAAACTTTATGTAACCAAAATATGTGAGACCGCAATATGAGACGAGCACAGGATCATCGTCTGAGGTTCTGTGTTAAGAGAGAATGGCGGATTTTACACTACATTGAGCATGTATACCTTGTTTTCCCCGTTAGTTATAAACCATGGGTCTGTGCAGTGCATGTAGGCCATTGTTATGAGATATTCTGACACCCACATAGCTTTCAGATCCAAAGATTAGAGAGCCAGAAATGTCGAAAATGTCTCTCCGTGTGTGTGTGTGAGAGAGAGAGAGAGAGAGAGAGAGAGAGAGAGAGAGAGAGAGAGAGAAAGGAGGCATTGGAAACTCCATATACTGGACAGACAACCTAAATTTGTTACAAAGGACAAATGAGTGTAAAACAGCATTATAAACTGTAGGTAGTACAGTTGATTGAATGAATGAACCAAAGAGGTCTATGTATCTGATAATTCATCGCCATAACACTAGATGGCAGAGTCACCTTAACGTAACAGTTTCTGCCAAAACCCTTAAAAGGCTGAATGCAATGAAACACAAGTAGCAAATGCAGTAAATAGTTTTTTACAATGTGAAAGCTGCATGTCACTGCACTCTCAGAAAAAAGGTACAAAACTGTCATTGGGCTGGTACATATTAGTATCTTAAATGTGCATATTAGTACTTAAAAAGTGCTTTAAAATAACATATTACATTTTGAAAGGGTCTGCGTGATATGGTGACAGATTTGTACCTTTTTTGCAGAGAGCGAGACCCTGTTTAAACAAAACAAAACAAAACCAAAAAACGGAAGGCCTTGAAAGAAATATTATTTTCACTGCTCATTTGCCCTCATATATTTTCCTATTTTGTTTTATGGAAACGTCTTTAAAAAATCATTACTAGCTCGACATCAGTAGCCACTTACACAAAAAAGTCAATTTCACAGCGACAAAGCTTTAGTAAAATCACTCTATCCTTAAGAGCAGCTGGGACTTTGACGCTTCAAATTTAAATTTTTGTCTCTTTTTTTTTTTTCTTACAACATAGTATAACAACCACAAGGTGCATGGCTTTTTGTTTGCCTTTTTTATCCCTGAAAACAATGCTTAAGATTATAGCTCACTCAAGTAAATTCATGAAAACAAAATGTCTGTGGTCAAAGTTCATATCAACAGAGCGAGGCAGTGATAACAGGATGATGTTGGAAAAAAAACACCCTGATATGGACAGCACCTGTCACATCACAAACTGCAGAGCTCACGCTCACCAGCACAAGCACAAATGCACACAAACCCGAATCCCCTTATTCCTTAATGCTGGCTCCTGGAAATCAGTCGTAGACAGTAGGAAAAATCCCCTGCATGTGCGCGATGACATCTTATTCTTTATCATCCAAATGGTAGAATAACACTGAAGCTCCATGATCAGGAGGCAGGATGTGGCAGCTGCCCAGGCCACAGATGCATGAGGCTGGGGAGGATGAATACGGCAGCAGCTTGTACTGCTGGAACCCCTTGAGCACCACCTTCAGTCTCTTCCGCCTCCACTCCATCTCCTCTTCCTCTTCCTTGTCATCTCTTGGTTTCTCTTTCTCCCTCTGGGCTTCGTCCAGGTGGATCTTGCGTAGCAGGTTGTTGATGAGCACGGAGCGGCGGAGGTAAGCCTCAGGGTCGTCTAGGAAACGCAGCTTCTGCAGAGACAGGCGCAGGATGCAGCTGCGCTCCTCACGCAGGATCAGGTGCTGAGGAGAGACAGACAGGTGAGGAGAGACAGTTGGAAGATGTCAGGTGTGAAGACACGAGACAGACAGGCGCAGACGTGAACAGGATATTTACATGAAATGGACAACTGCCTGAATCAAAGAGGGTGACACACATAAGATCAGAAAGACATCTATCTATCTGTCTGTCTGTCTGTCTAGAAACTTCCAAACCTTTCAAACATGGCTCTGTAAAGCCAAGATTTGAAGTTTTCCTTAATAAATTTTTATTTAAATTTAGAATTTCACTTTAATTATACTTTGTTGCATTGAAGCACATTTTAAATGACACTCACTTTTTGTAAATATCCATGTAGGCTTCCCTGAACATCCTCCTCTTCCGCATATTTTCGCTTAAAGTAGGCGACTTTCGACGTTGTTGACTGTTGAGGGCACTCTTAGAGGAAAGACCCTGCAGACGAGCACACAGGGATTTTGTGAAAACCGTGGCTTTGCAACTGGATGGAAATGGGATTTTTACAAATGTAACATCTCTTTTTTTCAGTCTCTTACTGTGAAAGATGATTCAACATAAAACAATTCCATCAGTGTAAATGTGTCCCTAACACTATGCCATGGGTAAAGTGGTTTAGGGTAGACCACAGGCAGTGTGTTATGTAACAAGGCCTGTGTGTGTTGTGTGTATTAATTACCTGAGAACTGCTTCACGCAGACACAATCACACACCTCTCTGACAAATCCTCTATTCACCTGAGACTCTTTCCTCTGGCTCACACACATTGCCTAATGGCTCCTAGTCAGAGAAAGAAAAAGAGAGTATTGTTTACTAAATGTTATTGTTTACTTTCCAATTAAGGTTAGTATTAAATTGGTGTGAACGTGTGACAACTAGCTCCGCTTGCATAGCCTACAGAAATGAGTGTAGTTCTGTCTCAAAAAAGCGAGTACAAGTCGGGCAAGAACTGCTGCAGTAAATGTAACGACACCTGCAGGCAGCTGTGCTGTAATTGTAAGATGACTTGCTGCTGTGTAATTGGAGTACCCGTGGGTGGACAGACTAGTGTGGGCTGCGTGTGAGTTAGCGCGCTCTCGAGAGAGAATAAATATAAGCCAATAAAAGGTATTAATCTTCACTGTACTTTTCGTTGGTAAATTTGGTTAAATTGTAAAAATACAATACGTTTTGGTGACTGTATATTGTACAGTTCTAAATGTAAACGTCATTACATTTAATCATTTTTAAATCATTTTAACACAGGTTCTATCAACCTGTTTGAACTAAAAATTTATTTTTAAGTTTGTTATTTTAATTGTACTGATAACATAGATGGTATATGCCACATGAAGTTCATATGAAGGGAATTCTGGCAATGTCCAATTGTGCATTAATTATGTTTAATTTTTATATTACTCATAATTATCATGAACTATTCTTAATTATTATTATATTTAATTTTATATTACTTTTATTCATTTACTTAGGCTATATACTTTATATTTAATGTTAAATTAATTTATCATAATTTTTTATTTCAGTAATATTTTAACATATAATTATATGTTTATATGTGCGCTCGGGACAAAATAGCAATTGACACTGGATGCAACACTAAGCAAAAGCAATAGTTTTCGCTTTCAAATGTAATTTTAGAAATGCTATTTTGCATTCAGCCATGTTTTTTTTTTAGCAACATTGTCTAATACTTACGGTTAACAAAACAAGATTAAGTATTCAGCTGGTCATGTCAATGATACCAGTGGCCCATATGAAGTGACCCATTCCATGCAAATAAAAATCTTTTTAAGATAGTAATTTGACTAAACTTAATTTCATCATAATCTATAATGTACTAATCAGTTTCAGGGCAAACCTTTTAATGAGTGCATCTTTAAATTTCTCCGTAAAAATTATTTATAATTTTGCTAAACATTTTAGAATATTCCAAACTAAAAATTTTCATGGAACATATAGCCTGATGGTAATGTAACTTACAGTTCTTTACGATAGCATTTGATATTTTTTGAAGAATATTATTTTACTTGTTTTTATTTTTCTACAGTGTACCAAATAAGTAGCCTACCTTCAATAACTGAAAATAGCACAGAATATGCATGCGTGTGTTATGTTGCATAATGCAGTATAAGCAGCCACTCTAATGAATGAATCACAGAACGCGCATTTTCCAAAAATCCAAAACATTTCAAACTAGAGAATGGGTCTGTTATGATTATACAATTGCAAAATAAACAGAAGCATGCAGTAAAAATAGCATATTATGTTTTAAGTGCGCTCACAGAGATTAAAAAAAAAAATCAATGTGACTAACAGAGCTAAATGATCCTACCTTATTTATAAAGCCACATCAGCAGTCCCTGCACGCGCGTTATTCATCAAACCAGAGGCTCAAAACAGCTCATACTGTGCCGAATGTAGCAGCTCCGCGTGAGCTTGACGCTTCGCCCCCAGATGTCGAAGTCTTGCTTTTGATATAATCCCTGTAGTATTCGGCTCACTCTCGGCTCTTAAAATATCCCTTTCTGTGCAGCGAGCAATAACAGACTGCACCGGCTCCTGATTGGTCAACGCTGAAACAGATGTTTCCTGTTGCTAGGAGAGTCCTGTTGCTAGGCTCCAGCATCAAACTCCATTCTTCTCGCATCCTCTCTCTTCTTGCGTGTTTCTTAACATAGGGCTTATCTCCTTAGAATATTTTTTTTGTACTTTTGAAATGTTTTATTGCTCATATACTCCTACAGCATATATATCTGGTATACATTAGTATATGGTATGTCATAAAATGTTTTAAACCTTTTAAACTCTTAAATGATCTTTTAACCTCACGTCTCCATGCTTAATTATCTCCTTCGACCATAAACGATTCTTCCACTCCTATACGCAAACATTACATGATGGGAATATTAAAACGCACACTCTTCTGGCAAACAGTTTCAGATATTATGTCAGTCTGATGATCATATGATTGGTTACTGTCAATTGAAGCTACGTTTTCCTCTGCCAGTATCACCTATTTTCACAGTTGTGATACACTAAGATCAATGCATAATCATTGTTACAAAATAAAGATTTATTGCTGTTCTGAATCATAACAAAACACATTGCCATCAAAAGTAGTGTATTAGGGATGTCTTTAATGATAGACAAAATATATGCATTTATTTCCAAAAAACACTTTGTATTTGAATGCATGCAAAACAGGCACTACTGACTTTTAAAACACTGTGGTCCATGCATTTGTAATGTTCCAGAGTTTTTCATGTTTATCTCCAATATCACTGGCTATAAATAAAAACTCCATAAAGGTTTAATCAGATCAGGCACTTTATATATGCATAAAGCAGTACAGGCATGCATTAGAAAAGAGTTTGGGTTTTAATGTCACAAGGACAGTGTTAAGTTTGTCTGAAGATTTTCTTGAACATGCAAGTGTCTGTGCTCTGAGTTTTGGTAAGAAGGATTGGTCTCTTTCCGAGAAATTACAATGAATGGGGACTGGAGCTTTCACTGTCCATGACTTTAAATTACAGCATATTTTGACGTAAAATGTAATAAAAAATGTCAAATGTAACAAAAAGAAACAGCTTTACTGTCATCAGTAGGAGAGCATGATTGAAAGTGCACGTGTTCAACAGTTTTCTGCTCATTAAACATTTGGTCTCACCAAAACTGCTTCTGGTGTCAGTCTGAACTTGAGGCTTAAAATGATCTGAAGAAAGACATTTAATCATTTCAAATCAATCCTCCATTCATGAAATCGCTAGGCGACAATCACCGTGGCTCTAGCAATAATGCGTTTTGATTGGCTGCTGCTGGAGTTGAAGAGAGTAGTCAGTATATTACGCCATGAAGTCATTTCCTGGTTACCAGATAAGAGGCTCTATCAAGTACTCACAGGGAGAAAGAAAAGTGGTGTGTGGGTGTTTCTTTGTGTTTGTATGTGCTTCCAAGATTTTCACAATTGCATTATTATCTTTCTTTGAAACTGTTAAAAGTGCTTGTTCATTCCTGTTTTTGTGGGTATTTTTGGTCTTGGCTTTCACCTCCTTCCCAAAGGAAAATCCAGCTGAACACAGTAGGTATGAATGATTAGACTTCTATCTCTCACCTCTAAGCTTCCAGTAGTGTGTGCCAGCGGCAGACTTGTTGGTTTCCACTCTCCTTCATGTCCTGCCAGTGAAGAAGTTCTTCCTCACCACTGCTGTTCTGGCCCAGAGCCACCCAGCCAATCATCTCCTTGCGCTTCATGTTCCGCCGATTGTAAATGGAGACCATTAATGTGACATCTGACAGTTGGAACAGTGCGACCTGGAAGACAAACGTCTCCTTGAAGACAGGATTCGGCTGAGTGCGACGGATGGACGTCTTACAGCGGGAAATCTCCTGTCCCATGGAGTTTAACAGAGTGAGCTTACCAAATGTATCTGAAAGAGAAACACAGGTCACTAAATCTCACCTCAATATATTTACTTAATAATCTTGAACATAAACCTTTTTTATTCCATTTTAGCCCAGTGATCAAATCTTTTTGTTATTGGATAATACTAATCTGTGAATTTGTTTTATATTAAGCAGCACAACTATTTTCAACATTGATAATAAGAAATGTTTCTTGAGCACCAAATCAGCATATTGAAATGGTTTATGAAGGATCAGACGTAGATGAGTTTGTTTCTTCACAGGAATAGATTGGGAGAAATTTAGCATTACGTCACTTGCTCACAAATGGGTGCCGTCAGAATGAGAGTCCAAACAGCTGATTAAAACATCACAATAATCCACAAGTAATCCACACGACTCCAGTCAATCAATGAAAATCTTGAAAAACTGTGCTTTTGTAAGAAACAAATCAATCACTGTGTTTTAACTTTAAACCATCGTTTCTGGCTAAAATAGAGTCCATAATAACGCTTACTACAGTGAAAAAGTTCATGCCCTGTTGTCCTCTCACATCAAAATCCACCAAGATATTTTTTTAGAATTGTTTCGGACTCTTTGGACTTGATCTGCGCATATTTCTCTCCTGATTTTGACAAGACACCTTAATCTGATAGAGCACTCATATTTTAACCAGAAGCAATGGCTTGAAGTGGAATCGTGTGGGTTACTTGTGGATGATTTGGATGTTTTTAACAGCTGTTTGGACACTCATTCTGACGGCACCCATTCACTCCATATGATCCAATGGTGAGCAAGTGGTGTTATGCTAAATTTCTCCAAATTTGTTCTGATGAAAAAACTAATTCATCTACATTTTGGATGGCCCAAGAGTGACTAAATTTTACATTTTTGGGTCAACTATTCCTTTAAGAGACATTCGAAAAATCTTATCGATGCTAATGATAGAGTAGATTAGTACAGTAACAAATAATGTTTTTATTTTTGAAGCAAGCACAAAACTGTGACAGCATTATATCACAATTTGTGTGTGTGTGTGTGTGTGCATGGTTTTCTTCAGCAGTGACTCATCGACTTGATGGATGTTTTTAACAGCTGTTTGGACACTCATTCTGACGGCACCCATTCACTCCATATGATCCAATGGTGAGCAAGTGGTGTTATGCTAAATTTCTCCAAATTTGTTCTGATGAAAAAACTAATTCATCTACATTTTGGATGGCCCAAGAGTGACTAAATTTTACATTTTTGGGTCAACTATTCCTTTAAGAGACATTCGAAAAATCTTATCGATGCTAATGGTAGAGTAGATTAGTACAGTAACAAATAATGTTTTTATTTTTGAAGCAAGCACAAAACTGTGACAGCATTATATCACAGTTTAATCTGGTTACTTGTGGATGATTTGGATGTTTTTAACAGCTGTTTGGACACTCATTCTGACGGCACCCATTCACTCCATATGATCCAATGGTGAGCAAGTGGTGTTATGCTAAATTTCTCCAAATTTGTTCTGATGAAAAAACTAATTCATCTACATTTTGGATGGCCCAAGAGTGACTAAATTTTACATTTTTGGGTCAACTATTCCTTTAAGAGACATTCGAAAAATCTTATCGATGCTAATGGTAGAGTAGATTAGTACAGTAACAAATAATGTTTTTATTTTTGAAGCAAGCACAAAACTGTGACAGCATTATATCACAGTTTGTGTGTGTGTGTGTGCATGGTTTTCTTCAGCAGTGACTCATCGACTTGATGCGAGAGGTGTGAGAAAAAGATCTAGGGCTCTCCGATCGATTAAATGCCTTGTAACTACATTCACCGAGAAGCATTATTTTGAGATGTGACCATAACAGATTAAGAGTCATACGAACAGCATGAACTCTAAAAGCCTGATGCTTGACCCACAACACAACGTGTGAGGATGACACATTCAAAATTTGCTAGTACAAATGTGTGTTCTAGCAGCTTGTTCGTGTAGTAAGGATTTATTGCAGTACATCTACTCAAAATCAATATTAGACGGCTTTACAAAAGGTTATTTGCTCAAGAGTCACTCCTGATGTTCTAATGATGCGTTTCTGAGCCTCTGTTAGTGTGAGTAGGATGGTGTGTTTACCTGGAGGTCTGTTGAGTGCGAAGTTACGGAAGTGGCTGCCTTTAATGATCTCCACAGACAGTCGTCCTGTGGTGGCGTTATATGATAAACCCAGCAGTAGTTCTGGGTTTCCACCGTGAGAAACAGAATGACTGGAGGAAGCACTGTCACTCTGAGCACTGAAAGACACCTGGGAGTCTACTGTCTGCAGGGAGGGAGATGACAACCTAGTTGGTATTTGTACATAAAGTATAGTTCTACATCTTTCAGTATATGGACACTGTACTATTTCAGTCTTTCTACTTCAAAATTTAGTTTAACTCAATATGCTACTTGCCATTTCTTTGTAATTATTTGAGAAATTTACTAGCTATTTTGGCGTGAAAATTGTTTCTGAGTAAATCCTACATCAATTTATTTTCAGTGTACCTTTAAAAAAATGTATTCCTTGTACATATGTACAACTTTACAGATGTACAAAATAATCTTTGTGAACAAATATGCTGGTACCCTCAGAAAAGTTCCAGCATTTTATATTCTGACGCATCTTTAGAAAGAGAAAAGATGATTTGTAAAGCTTTGTTGAGTTTGTAAAGTTAAACATTCATAAAAAGCATTTCAGAAGCTGTTTGCACATAAACGTGTCTATCCAAAAGTATCGAAATGTACCTGTCCACTTGAGCCTTTAATCATAAGAACAGTGTAAACAAAAAAAAAAAGTTTATGTAGGATTTACTGTGAAACAAATTTCACGGCAAAATTTCTAGTAAATTTCACAAATATTTAATAATTAGAAATAATTAAATAATAATTAGAAAGAAATGGCAAGTAACACACTGAAATAAATGCTACATTTTTATGTAGAAAGACTGAAATAGCCTTTAAAAAAAAAACACTCAAATAATCTTCATTTACAACTTTTCTGCAGAAGATAATTTTGAGCCAGTGTTTCATTATCTCTAATTGAAAAATGTGTTTTTCTGCTTTGCAAATCTAAATATTTTGCTTTCTGTGCTATCTTTCATTTTATTATTAATTTATTATAAACATAATGTAATCTAGGATATGACTATGTA